GGGGATATTCATCTTACCTGGAAATGGAAAAATAGCTGACATAAAATGGATAAATTTCAGCATTTAGTCGGTGCTAAATTTGAGTCAAACAAGTAATTTACAAAATTATAGGTAAGTTTTCAATCGAAACAGGAACAAGTAGACGGGAGATTTGACTAAAGAAAGACTATTATTACATTTTTATCTTAAATTTCTTAAAGCTTTAGCATATGTTAAGTTAAATAATGACTAAGTACGTAAACTGTGATTCCTGTGAAAGGAGAAATTTAAATGGTGTTATTTTTTTATTAATGGGAAAAAATTTCATGTTTCACACTGTGAATGGACTCTATTTAATTAACTAATTTTTAAGACAATTCTTTCCCACTAGATTCATCTTTGCACGTGTTTTTATTTTTCAAAAAGTTAAAGAAAATAAAAATATTTAATTATTTATTCATTTTAAATTGAGAAAATAATTTTAAAAGCAATAAATAAAGTTCGTTTTTGGAGCTGCAAATAAGTAAATGTAGTTACTAGTATCAGATAATTTTTCTCAGTAATGACGCACCAGAAAGGGCGGATCTCTTGTTATGGCATATTCTAAGCAGAAAAGCGTTATTTGAAATCATTTGTTTGAACACGAATAAGTGTGTTCGGTGAATATAAATGAGTGTGATATTTAACTTTTTTAATTAGTCAGAGACATGATTTTTACAACGAAGCTAAATTGATGTCTATAAGATACCCCTCAATTACTTTGAGTCTTATAATATATATATATATACCCTGTGAAAAAATTATTGACTAAATTCTCTTACCTCCTGAGGGGGGACATCAAAGGTCACAGTTCGAAGATCGACCTTTCGAATCATATCGAGACAGGGTACGGTGAAGAAGAGGCCAGGACCTTTGGCCCCATCGGGTAGAATTCGTCCCAATCTAAATAGCACAGCCCGTTCGTATTCCGCAATCACCTACGGAAATAAAATTGTTGAAATTTATTTTTTACTTATTGAATAAGCTATCCAAACTAGTTTCTATGCTTCAAAAATATCCTTGTTTGTATAATTACAAAAGTGTGGGATGGGCGATAGACTTACCTCTACGTGGTGCACAGTGAGCAACGTATACTCATACGGCAAAGGTCTAAAAATCGGCAGTTAACTTTGAACTTTCACGAACCAAATACAATGTCATATTCGATTACTTGCATAGTAGTCACTTTTCCTTTTTTCTACCTTTGCATCTGTCTCCCTTACATCTGTGAATCACTCTTCTGTTCCCCTTCAACATTTTTGTTACATTGTCTGTTCCTCCCCTCTATGAAGCCCAAAGTCAACTAGAGGGCTATTGATAACTATCATGAAGCCTGTAATTTAATAAAAACTAATTTTGAAAGTGTGCATTTAATGCAGTCAACCAAAGGTTTAATTCATTTTATTTAAAAATTTAACGTAGAAAGCTGTTGCATTGAGACCTCTAGAAAAATATACGTAGAATAATCAATGGTTCCTATTTGACATTTCGCTAACTCCACACCATATTTTCCATAATTACATGATAAAAGCTAAAATTTACTGCTTTGCAATTTATTTCTTTATTCATACTTGAACAAATTTTAAACCAATGTTCCGATGTGAAGATTCTCTATATTATGGCAAATATACAGCAGTTGGCCTAATAAAATGGATGCTTTGAGTAAAAATTTGAAAGCTTTGATAAATGTGAAATCTAGTGCTCATCAAATATTTCAAACCAATGGCGATTGAATAAGATGATGATTTTTGAAAAAAACTAAAAATTATTAATCATTATCTAATTGAGTGACTGTTACTGACGCTACAGGAGGATATCAAAATTGTCATTTTGAATCTCACATACTTTCTGTTTCATTTGCTTGTCAATTGATTTAGACAAATGATTTTATCTTGAAAAATGTTCTTGAAGATTAAGCTTATACAGTGTGTTAAGGAAACAAATTTTTGCCAAATTTTGTTCAGTGTATTTCAATATTATTTGCGAATTTTAACACAATACATTTTTTCAATTAATATCCTTATTGATCATTTGTTTGACGTTGACTCCTCAAAATTTTAATGTAATATTTGACGGTTATTTTTGAGAAATGATTTTTTTCAAATACGATATATGTTTGAAATCTTGGAAGAAATTACAAAAAGATTTTAGAATAATTTCACGATGACTTTGCACTTTGAAAAGTTGGAGTACTCATAAAAGTGATGCATTGAATTAGATATCTAAAATTAAATTCGTCACGCAATTGTTAATCCCGAAAATCAATGTTCCAATTTTGTAAATCAAATTTTGTTATTTCATGCATTAAATGGACATGATTTTTTCAAACTACTTCAATGTAGAGTTGCGTGTGCAGATTATTTACAAAATGCCCACTTATGGCGTTTTTTAAACATTTTATGTTCTCAAATGATTTCTACTGCATTTGAATAGGCAGACTCTCTTTAGCTGAATTTAACATGAAGCCCCTTCGAGAAACAAAGATATGAGTACGATTGTCTCTACCCCCCTTCTCGCCTAGTGTATCACGTGTATCTGTCAAAACTGTTGCATTTGACTACTTAAAGTTGAATATTATATTGAAATATCGTGTGCCCCTTAGTTCTTCTTAACCCACTGAACATGGTTTCTCATATGGTTACAGAAATTAAAAAAACGTGTTACGGTCCAATAGGTAACCTAAATTTTTTATTAATCAATCTACAAATATTTTCGCAAAAGTTAATAACAAAATAGTTAAACTTATCACATGATTATGAACATATTCTATAGTCTAACAGTTAAAAATGCATATAATTACTAATGATCTTAAGTTAATTAGCATAAGGAAAGAAATTTGGATTGATATTGAAGAAGTCTGTTTGCTTCAAACAAGAATTTGTGCCGTTTCTGTAATTACATGGAACGTTAAGTGTGCGATAATAAACCATTGTACAATATGTATAGTGCGTCTCTATTGGCCGTTCTCATTTATTTGAACATAGCTGCTTCATCGCCTTACGGAGAAGACGTAAACTATACAAAAGTTGCACAATGAAAAGTATTAGTTCGTTCTCTTGTCACTAAATTAACCGCGCGTATAGAATTTGGCATTATGGTTTTATTAATTGAATTAAAGAACCTACCTATGCTATTTTAAGGCTATGATCCGCTACTCATAATTGATCTAAATGCCTATTTTCTTGTACTCTAACCCTAATACGAGAATCTTCTGCTTAAGTTCTTAATAGGCAATGCACTTTTCATTATCATTGAAAGTCTCTTTAGCATGTTATGCAATATTTAATAATTCAGTACTTCTAATACTTGAATTTAAATTTCATTATTCATTCCCTGAATTTTTTTCCCACGGAATTTTAATCACAATTATAGCTCATGTAATTTTAATTTGTGATATTTTTCTAAGATTTGTAAATGAAGAATGATTTCGAATGACATTAAGTTGCTCACACAATTCCTATTTATATCAGAGACAATAAAGAACTTTGAAAAGTACTCCAATCTGTTTAAAGCAGATCGTTCATTTTATATTAGCAAAAGGAAATCTTATAAAGGTGTTGAAGAAAAAATTTGACTGTAAAAATTAACATGATTAAAATGGGAAGCTGACAAAAGTTTTATTTTTGTTATTATTTAAAGTTAGAAATAAATTTTTTTATAACGCTAGAAATTAAGAAAAATATTTGAAAGAAGGCGTAACATATTCTTTATAGGTTCGATTTTGGCTTTATCAGCATGGCATTAAGAAAAGAGTGTTTAATGTGCTCCATATCTAACATTTCATTTCAAACTAGCATGACCTCGTGTTTCTTTATGCTGTCATGTATAAATATAACTTGACAAAATTTTGTACTGCAATTAAATCATTCAAAGACACTGTTAAATATGGAAAACAGAGCCTTAAAAACGATAGTAGAATCCTTAAATTAAACAGAAAGGTGAGTAAACTAATTTGGTGGAAATTGTAGTAATACTGTGGGGTTGGTCATTTTTATTATTAATACAGCTTAACATCTTTCCTGAACCGTCATTTATATCTACATCTGGATTTTCTACTTATCGTCCGGAGACAGGTGTTGAATCTACCTTGTATTTTAAATCGGTGAAAAGATATGTGGTGCGGATTTGGCACAAACGTCTTACTTTGCTATAAATTTTTCTGTTGGAAGAGTGATGATCTCACCAAATAAATGGATAAAGATATCACGTTTAATTTCTTGCGAATTTTTCAAAAATACATATCGCTTCAACTTAGATCTTGTCCCATTACCCCTTATATACACAGTATTTGTTTATTCACACTGTCATCTCTGACACAAAGTAAACCTTTTCATTTTCTTAAGTTTTAAAAAGGCCATTTTGCTTATCTCTTTTGGCGCGTTTAAATGGGAAGCTAATCTGAAAAGACATATTTTCCACTCTGTTTCCATTGTCAATCATCAGTTTTCCCATACAGTTACCTGTTGTATTCCCCACATTTTGTAAAATGATCTTTAATTAGACAACTAAATAACTAAATAAATAAGTTGTTGATCCGTTCTTATATTACTGATTTCAGATCATTAATATATATTTTCAACCAAATTGTTCACAGAAAGAGCATTTCATATTGGCTTTCAACGATATGATTAATGTTGTTTTGAATTATTCTGCCCTGTTGGCCTCTACGAAAGCCGTTTAATTTTAATATCGTAATTATTATGACCTTTGAGACTGTGGTAATATAAATTAATTTAAATTTCATTTTTTAAAGGTAACATTCATGAAAAGCTTTCTTATATTTTCCTTAAATGCTAGGCTCTAACAAAATGCTGCCAAAAGGGTAAAACATGAACTTTTATTGAAAAGATGTCTTTATAACCAATAGCGTTATGCGGAAACCTTGGTTTAAATAAAATAACTTCTCTTCGGTTAAATAAAAGTTGCATCGAAAGTTAAGCACTTCCTAACCGGCATGTTCTTTTGCTCAAAGAGGCTGAATTTTGAACAAAATCATGAACTGGTTGGAGTGGGGGGGGGGTGTGAGGGAACACTTCTAAAAATATCTTGGGAAAATCGTCGTTCAGAGGCATTCCGAAGGATAAAAAGATTGCTTCATTGAGTGTTGCCCTGAAAAGGGAATTCAAGATTACCGTAAAATTTGGCAGCGCATACTAATACAGCATTGGGATGCAAAATATAGGCACCATACACATTATGTAAATAGGAATGACGATAGAGCTTGTAATTTGATAGCCAATAATTTTACCTCTTGCGCTGTAATTGCATGGAGAAGAAAAATATGTGCGACTTGTTTTCGTGGGAATATATCATATCTTAAGCATTTGTTAGGGAATTAAATAGGAGATAATAGGGAAGGCTTTAAGTGAATGTTGTTCTTAAAGACAGTGCATTAATGCATATAATAACTTCCAAATACGTGTTTTTAGGCGTAGTGTTTAAAAATTAAACTGCTATTACCATCACCTGTATTAAAGAATATATTCATACTCAGATATTAAGATCGTGGGTGCGCGATAGACTTACCACCTCGTGACGCACCCTGGACAACATATTGTCGTACGGCAAAAAAGTCTATCACTCGGCATTTGATTTGACTTCGATTTATTATGATTAGCTTGAAATAAGGCTATGAGAGAAATCGCCCTCGTCAGGGTGAATCACAACGTCTTCAGATCCTCCAGTGGAATGCTGGAGGGATGTCACAGGACAAAAAGATCCAAGTACAGAAAATCCTACAATCTTATGATGTAGACATTTTCACAATAATGGAAGCAAACATTTCGGATGACAAACTGAAGTACTACCAATTCCCAGGTTACACCCTGTACCTTCTACCTAAATACCGGCAAGTTGCAAGTGGAATTCTAACTGGAGTAAAAAAAGGCCTCACCTCACACTAAGATCTAATCAAGAGTATGGGCTCGACACAAGACATATGTGAAATAATCAGATTAAATGTTTGGAAATGTCAAAACCACTTCAAGGTATATGCAGTCTGTAATCCACCCCAGAATTGTCCCAACTTTGACTATCTGAACATCTCACCCAAAACTGTAGTATTAGGAGACTTCAACGCCCATTCCACCAGATGGGGCTACAAGGATACAAACATAACTGGAAAGGAAATCGAAGACATGCTAAACAGCAATCCTCTGGAACTTATTTACAGCAATGAGGATCCGGCTACATATTTGCACTACAATGGAATCAGAAAAACTCCTGACTTACTCTTGGCTTCAAGCGACATCAGTGAGCTTACACACCGCAAAATAATTGACGATCCTGGTTCTGGTCACAAACCAGTCATTGCTAGTATTAACATCGGCAGCATAAGCATGACATGGAAAGTCCCAACCAAGCTATCATGAAACTTCAAGAAGGCTGACTGGCTTAGATTCACAAACCTTTAAGAGAATGAACTTCACACAAGTCCCCTCAACTTTAACCAACATCCTGACAAACTTTGCACTGATATCACGAATATTATGATCAGATGTGCAAAGAAAACTATTCCCAGAGGCCAGACTAAACAACATCAAGTGTTTTGGTCTAAACACCTTGAGGAACTGAAAAGAAAGCGGGACGCCCTTCGCAACACTGCAGACCAGACTGGAAGAGTGGAAGACGTACAAGCCTGGAGACGANTGATCCTGTATGAGAAGCTACTGCGCATTCCCATGGATAAGTTCTTCAGCACCTATGAGAATAGACCAAGACATCTGAAAACGCAATCTGGTCTAATGCAGAAAGCCATAGAACTGAAGAAAGTATTGTAAATCGATGACAAACCAAAACGTCTCTCTCTACCCATGAACCCATTAGCAGACACTGATGTAGTGTGTTGCACCCAACTGCTTGACTTCTTCAGGAAATCAAACACCGACACAAATGCCCCACGTGAGACAATCAATGTCAACTATCCTGGAGATCAATGGCTCAGTCTGCACTGTTGAGGCTCATACAGGAAAGCCAAGGAAACGTTGGTGCAGGTGTCTATTCTGAACTCTTCTCTTTCCACGCAGCAGCGGGACACAATAGATCCGCTATTGAAGGAGAAATCGATATTAGGATAGCACTATGCCAATTATGTTGCCTGGACACCCATTAGGATAGCACTATGCCAATTCTGTTGCCTAAATACGAAGCATTAGGATAGCACTATGCTATTTATGTTGCCTGAATGCGAAATTCACCAAAGTGGTGATACTTTCGGACTCATAGTCAACAATAAACTCAATTGGAAACAGAGAGTCACTTAAAACAGTTGAGATAAAGGAATGTAGAAAAACTCTATCAGCTGCTGAGAGAGAAAAACAAAACAGTGGTCCTACAATGGATTCCTGATCACTGTGGCATTAAAGACAATGAGCTTGCTGACACACCTACTAAGAAGGAGACAACGATTTTGCAAGGCATGGACCGCCCAATGTCCTTCCACACAACGAAGGCCTTAATCAGAAGAGAATTCCAGACCTCAAGGTGCAACGAACTCAAAGCTCAAACAAAGCAGAAACAGTGGACAGTGCCACTCTTCGATATAGCCGACTGGTCAGGAATCGAAGTCATTGCTGACTTTAGACTACGTACCGGACATGATTGCCTGGTAAAACATCTTCGCAGATTGGGAGTATACACTAAACCCACATGCCCTCTATGTAACCTACATGAGGAAATGGAGAAGACCCACTTGATTCGATGTCCAGCCCTAAAGACAACGACGGAACGCCAGAGATACTGGGAAGCAAGAAGACGGTTAATGAACTACTATCAATTAACTGCTATATGTGTACCCCCCACCCTTGGGGGAAGCTGAACTCAAAGTTTAAGGACTAATGATAAATATCACAAAGCCTGCCAATAATATTAAGATCATATTAATTACTTAGCGAAAATCGGAATTTTTTTCAATACTTTTAAATAGGGCCAATGAATTTTTTCATATTCATCTTTAGTGGTTCTCTGATTTCTAATTTTAAAAAAAGATTTTCTTAAAAAAATCTTTTTTGGCAAAACATTTGGACCTAGTATATATTTTCATCTTAAAAATGTTTTTTTCAATTAAAATTTATGGGTCTTTATTTCTAGAAATAAATTGTAATTAATATACTTCTTTTCATTTTTTTATTCTACTGCACGTAATAGTATTAAATATATGATGGCGCTATAAATTTGCTTATCGCAACTGTAATTAAATAAATATGGGTCCCTCTAACTACTTGGCAAAATGTATAAGTTATGAAATGATAATATATTAAAAAATAAATTGAAATTTGAAAGCACTTTTCTCATCTTATTTAATGCAATTTCAGTAATTAATGTTAAGTTGTCAACCACAAATTTTTCGTTTAAAGTTATGAGAATAAAAACGCATTAAGTTAAATCGTCAAGAAATATATTGCCAATAATTATATTTTCAAAGAGATCGATACAATTTGCAGACTATCTTCACCGTTTTTATATACAATAGGTCAATTCAACGACTTGCTTCATTCTATAAGAAGTTACTGGGAAACGCGTGATTATCAAGTTCTTGATAAGCGTCTCAAAAAGCCCATAAATTAGTTCAAAAAATGAATATTTTGCAATATTAACTAACAAGGTGAATAAATTCGGAATTTCAAATATGCGATGGAGCAACATCCTTTCCATCAAAGTAAATAGCACCGGTTGAATCCCTTCCATTCTAAATCGTATAATCCCGAGATTCAACGTGCAAATAATTGCATTTCATGGAATGCTAAAGACTAGGGAACTTTAAGCTTTCATTTTACTTTATATATATTTTTAAACGTAATGGATTTCAAATAGTTGCGAAAAATTATCAAGTGCACGTGTAAATATGAAGAAAGTAAATAGGAAACGTACTCTGATGCAGAAGAATATGGAGATGGGGAAGGTAATTAGGATGAGAAAGTAGGAGAGACCGAGAAGCATGTAACTGCAGCAGCCAATGTCTTTTGTTTTCGACATCTGTCCTGAAATGTGATGGGAAAAAATATTTAACATATAATTTAATTTCTGTGAGAATAAAGGAGGTAAAATGGCAATTCAAAATGGGCATTCGAATAACGTAAGTTCGTTTTTCCAACAACAATTCACAAACAAGTAATTACATTTTAAAAACACCTTAGAAAGAAATGAAATTAACATTATAAGCAATTTATTTAATAATATCAAGTTCACCTATCTTCACTTTTTTATCTCAAAGTCACAAAAATTTCAAATTAAATTTACATTGTATATGTTGTATTTAGTATATTTACAAATAAGTAAAATTGTCAGCAGAACAAATTAGATCAAATCCACACTTGATATTTATTTCCAAACTAATAGTGAGAAATATACATATATATTTGAAGCTTTTATTGTCAATAAATGCAAGTTAGAGTTGGCTTTAATAGGTACGGCATGATGATTCACCATGGAATCCTTATTTATTAGAAAAAATAGTTTAAAATAAGTACGATTTCCAAGTCGTTTATTTAAAATCTTTTTTAAATATAAATATTATCTCAATTAGAATTAACCTTATGAGTCGCAGGGTGAATTAAATAAAATTGATTTGTATATTTTATGTAAAATCGAAATTTATGAAGTCTCTTTATTATCAACCTCAGTTTCCATTCCATTTTCCCCAATTCAGCAATAATTCGATTTTCGTTTGCTTCTTAAAATAATTGATGGGATGTAATAATAATAAAATTATCCTAAATGGGCAAGAAATTTATGTTTATGTTCTAGCATTTAGCTTTTTATTGATTGAAATATAAGGGTCATTATCTTCATTTCCACGGGTTTTATACATTTTTTTCCCAAAAAATAATATTTTAATTAATTTTGAAATAATTTTTTAAATATTTGATATTTGATTTTTTTAATACCAAATACTTATGAAGAGGTAATTGCGAATTGTCAAGCATGTTATTCAATTATATATGTAAAAATAATGACATGACACTTTGTGATCTTGTAAGAGCATCTGCAGCGAGATTACACAATAAACCGCTGAAATTCTGGTAATATATAAAATAATGCAAAAATACTTCTCATATGCGACGCCAAGAAGTACTTAGCGCGTAACTAACTTTTTAAAAGAACAGAATTAGTAATTCTTGCATGATATTATGGCATGTAAAATAATAATATTTCATATTTTTGTTAATTACTCCAAGACATTATAAGTACCAGATTACATAAATCAGTTAGGTTGATTTGTATCATAAATTTGGCGAAATAGCAATTACGGAAGTAGCTTTCGGTAGTCAATGGATACACCAAATGATTCTTACTGTATTCTTTATTTTAGATTTTCTATTAGAGATAGGTAATTATCTTCATGCATTCATATATTAATAACTTGACAATGCTCCCATTCTGACTTTATTTTTGAGACCATTTACCTAAACAAATAGCTAGTTTTATTTCAAAACTTTTTTATTTAGTTATTAATTAACGACCTTTGATTTTTAGCTATGAATTAAATTTTATCGTCATCGCCGTAACTGTGTCTATTTTGAATAGTTGATAATGCAGGCATTATATAACGGATTGCATTTATAATCGATTATTTTTCGAAACAAAAATAATACCGTTGTCACTTATTTAAACAAAAATTATGCATAATGTCATGGCTTTTGTATTGGCTGACTTGTCTTAGTTGCATATAAATTCACACATTTTTGGATTCAATAACACTGCAAAATAACAGTATTCGACTTGAGATTACTAAAAAAATGCATATCAAATCTAAGCTCATGTAGATACGTAAAAAAATTTTCGCAAATAATGCTTTCAGGAAAAATCTTTTATTTGTAAGCTCAATTTAAAATTTATCAGCAGAGAGTCAAAATTAATTGTTCAAAAATACAAAGCAATAACATCATTTTGGTACAAGATTTATTTTTTTCATTTGAACAATAAGTAATTTTACGATGAAAGATTTTAAAATCAAAGTTCTTTAAACCATTTGTTCGAGATTACAAATTTAATTTTATTTCTAATTCATACTCTACTCTTACGGGGATTTTAAAGCTAAATCTGCCAAATTATTCGATTAAATTTTAACCTAAATTCGTTAAATTAAAATTCATATGTTAATTCATGAAGTTCAGGATTTAAGTTTTAATTTACTTAATGCAACTAAAACATTTTTTCTTAAAAGCGAATTCCTGTCTCCTTGACGTTTGTTAAAATTGACACAATTCGATGACAGCTTACATTATTTTGACACGAAAAATTGTAACTATTCTCTCACAAATTTTGAAGTGTCATTTACACTGGGGAATACATTTTTTGGTGATAAATAATTTGCAGATACAAGGGGGCAATGAAGAGCTTTTTAAAAATGAACAAATATGGACAATAATGAAATGAATTCTGAACCTGTCATGAATATTATATTCAATAAAAATTTTAACTAACTAGCAATTACCGGTGACTAAGGCACCCAATTTCTTTGGATGAGTATAAAAATAGAAAGCATTATCATTTTATTATCGATTCAATTTAAAATGTTTTCTCTATTTCAGTATAATGCGAAAGAGCATTCTTATAATATGTGCTATCGCCAAAAAAATATTTGAAACTTTCTCTCTGAACTTGAATGTTTACCTCCATCCATTGACGTTCGCGGATTGACTACAGAATATTTTCGGGACTCCGCCAAAAGACTTCCTTCACTGCCCACCATTGAAGAGTCGATGGGGTTGGCAACCCCCTGTTGTTGTGGCGCGTTCATCATGACTGAGTAGAAATGGTAAACTTATAATCCTTTAATAGGTACTCAATTGACTTCCATAGTGTTTCATTATATGCATATATATATTCCAAATTGGCCACTTAAAGAACAGTTTAGTTCAGTGATAGTGCAGAATAGTAAGGCAGAAATTGCTCTTGGAGTCGTAGTAGTAGCCAAAGGCGCATAAATACACTCGCGAACACCTCGGTCAAATGGTCATCACGCCCCTATTTTGCAAGGCAGTTAGTTTGACCAATCAGACTCAGCTTGAAGTAATCAATGCCACCAATGGCAGGACGACATGCGCACAGTTGGTCAATTCAACTTTGGCGGGGGGTGCGAGGTAGATGTGTGGATACGCAGGAGTATCCACCTATGGACACCCTTCTTGATTATTTTAATTATGCCCATCAAATGCAGCAGCTACTAATGAATGAGTTCAGATTAAATACATACTTAGTCATTTGTTTTCTTAAATAAATATGTTCATAAAGCAGAAGATTGCGAGGAAAGAATTAGATAAACTTATTTGCTGACGATGCTTTCCTTGTTGAATTCATTAGTAAATCAGTTCGTTTAAAATGAAATTTATTTATACCATTTTTCGAAAACACTTCTTGTAGATTTTTTTCGTCTTGAAAGTGATCTGCTCGAGAACTTAACAAAATTACGGGTTTGGGAAAAAGCAGTTTGGGGTTGTTTATCCATTTTTACCTAGCCTAGTTGTCAACATCAACCTGTCTAAATTATGTAATCAGTAATAGCTTTTCTAAAACAACATTTAAATTTTTTTACTTTCAAAAATTTTCCAAAATATTATTCAAAATTATGGGAAATTCTTTTTTCCTCTGGCTGATCGACTTGAAAAATCCTCAAGACACTGCTCTTTATATCTCTGTAATTATTCAAATTTTGATTTATGAACGAACGAATTAAAATTTAGGAGACGAAAAATTTAGGAAATATATACTATTTGCATTTATCAGCGCACTTTTCGAAAGACAAACTTTGAACAACATTTTCTGTACGAAAGCATTTTTAACCCTTATTCATTTCAAGTCAAAAAATTTATAATTCTCAATCTCAAGACAACTTGAATCGTAGGAAGAAGAACTATAGCATGCTTGAATTTGGGCGGCGTTTTAACAAAGTCTCAATTATTTATAATATTTTGCTAATCATTCCAACCATCACAATTAATTATTCACTATTTGCGTCGCAAACACTGAAAATAAATGGTTAAAATGAAATTAATTGGATTTTCCGATAGTCAATACTTCCATATTTTAGAAAAGTAAGTATCTATCATTTTTAAAGGAGCAATTGAGTATCTTTCGTTTAAAAATTTACACTTGCACATGACAAATGTCCTTATCTTGATCATTTATTGCAATAAGGAATAAGTATACCATAACTTTTATCATAGAAATGATGAAAAAATGATTTTTTTGACTTAAAAATTGTTTCTAACAATCGATAATTGTTTGGAAAGAATTAATTTTATTGAGCAAATTTTCATATAACGAGTAATAAAAATTTATTCGAATTTTTAATAAATTTTACCAAGGTAACCTTGATTTAAGTATTGAAATATTCACCATTAATTAATTACGTTTTTTCAGCAATGTTAGATAATAGGTTTCATTTTTCTCCACCTTCGTCATTTTTTATTCACTGTGTTTTAAAGGTTTAGTAATAGATTTCTAAATATCAAGAATTCAGAGAAAATTTCAACCGACAAAGAATTAAATGTCCCCACTTATTCTTTGATGTCTGCGATACAACCTTGATGTTGAGATGCCTTTTAAAAGAGATAGCATCAAACATTGTCCAAATACACAAAAAACAATCTACATATGCATTTGGATTCATGTGAGGTTGCAATAAGCTTTATTCAGGATAAGAAATAAAATTTCCAGAGGTGAAGCAATAAAGAATAACAGACCTAACAGGAACAATATTCAAAAGGGCCACAATGTGGAGAGGTGGAACTAAACTGCAGTAGTTACGGGCACTAATAAAGGCGATTAATAAAAGAAGGAGGTTGGCTGGTGGGCTTTGATCAGTAATGTTGATGCGTAGTAATAACGTCAAGGCCAATTGGAAGTGATTTAACGAAACGGTGGGAAATTCAGCTCGACAAGAACCAAGAATCTCTGTCTTAATCCTACTATGTTGTTACAAATTCAAAAGGGTGCTTTAAAGATGTTTTAGTCGCTGATGAAATATAGACCAAATATCATATTCTACTTGCTAGAATGATAATTATAAATCAATCAATTATGTGTGACACCATACTCTGTTATGGCGTATATTAAGCTCAAAGTAAGATTATTTTTATGACATATCTGTTATTTCAAGCTCAAATAGAGTAACAACCAATATCTAGTAATCAATAAGCTTGACATACTTTTAAGAAACTACATGAGTAGTGAGTAGGGTGCAAGTTTAAACTTACTAATAGATGTGAAGCATATATGAAGTTGATTCAATAATTCAAGATTGATCCTTTTTTTCAAATGGCAGGCTTTATGATATTTATCATTAGCCCTTAAACTTTGACTTCAGCTTTCCCCATGGGTGGAGGGGGGGGGGGTACATATATAGCAGTTCATTAGCTGTCTTCTAGCTTCCCAGTATCTCTGAATTTCCGTCGTTGTCTTTAGGGCTGGACACCGAATCAGGTGGGTCTTCTCCAGTTTGAAATTCATATTGTCAAAATGGTATGAAGCAATAACTTGATGTTCATTATAACCTAATCAAAGTTTGGGGAACAATCAGAAGCATCTAAAATCATTCAATTAACGTGATCTAGGAAGGGTGATTAAACTCCGAACTGTTAAGGTCATCCTATCAGCAATTACTGTTACCAGATTAGAACCACTAGAATATATACAGACACTAAATCAGCAAGATAATGGAAGATGAGATAAGGCTTACTATCAAATGCCTAAGTAGACCATGAATAGTTATGAAAAAAATATAAAATTTTAACTTTTATATAGATTAAAGCTTGAATCAATTCGAAAAATGTAACACCTTTTAATTCAAGGTTTTGATCGCTTGTCAGTAACTTTGAATCATTCTCCTGGCAATTACAAACCATTTCTAAGGTTTAAAAAAGACGTTTATTTTCTTAGTATTCAATATTGAATCAGACGAAACTTGTTTACTATCCGAACAGGAAGTTGGAAGGTGAGATGAGATTAATAATTTCGGGTTGATGAAAGTGGATGAAATTAAAATGTGTCTGGGAAACGTTTAGTCTAATTTATGTGATGAAAGGCAAAGAGTCATTTGGTGAAGTGTAAAACTCATTCGGAAGAGAGGTAAAATGTCAAGAGCTGTCATATTCAATTATTTAATTACCAAAAATTTTATATTTTTATGATATTTTAGCAAAAAAGTGATGAAGTGAAAGAAAGGTAAAATGCATTCCTTTCCCGTCAACACAAATTTATCATAATGCGAGTCTTTTGTACTAGTTGATGAAAATCATGCACACCAGATAAAATTAGCTCTTAGCAGAAATCATTAAATTGCGACGTATGATTAGATGTATTTTAAAACTTTAACTATTTCCCTGTCATTTTATCATGGCTAATTTTGTCGTAAGACAAATCACTTGTTATGAAGTTTGTCACAATTGCCAAGAAGTCAGGTAAAGGCTAAATTAGAATCGATTATTCATGTAATCAGACATTAGTTGATGGAATAAAATATTTAATCTCCACTACTAGTAATTGGTGTTCTCCGGAAGTGGATGACTGAGGAAAGTGGACCAATTATTGAACTTTGTAACTGTTTTTTTGGTTTTGCAGACAGGAGGGGGGGCAATTGATAGAGAGGTATTGCTCACGTCATGCTACGATCTCTCGTGAGTATAGCCCGAAATTAATAATTCTCTTCTAATGAACCCCCAACAAATCTGCATAAGTATTTTCACTGATCTTTTCAGACTGCTCATGTAGTATCATTAGGAAGAACTTTTGTTCATTTTAACTTCTCTCATTTTTTAATCTAAGCAGTGAATTCAAGAATGGTTAAGCCAGGTTACAAAGCTATTCAACTACCAGACAAAAATAATTGAAGTTAAAATACATTGGAAAGAGTTAATGAACGAATTCTCTGCACTTTAGAGGTTGGCTAGTAATATATGCTTCTACAATTACTCAAATGCACCAAATTAAATATGCTACACAAATACCAGAAAAAATGCATGAATTGGAGTGATAAGCGCCAATATATTGATTGACAATATTTGAAATTGTTGTCTGTCAGAAACTGTTGATTGTCAGACAGGTCAATTTTGACAGAGCTGGGAAGAATGCTTATTTTAGTGATTCTTATTTGCTCAGAGCACTTTAAAATTGATATCTTCCTTCTAACAGTTCTACTACAGTTTTACTCCTCTCAAAGGTCATTTAATTCTTACCTTTTCAGAATTTTGCCAATTTTTTCTCGAAAGTGATTAGAGAAGAGATTTAGGTAATGGAATGATGAAGGCCCCATCAAAATAAATTCATTCATAAGTTAGTGCGAAACAATATGATGTAAGCCATCACTTAAAAATCTAAGACTAGAAGACCGGGAATTGTGATTTTATAGCAGGGGATTAAAATAAGTCGAGCTAAGATATCGAAATTGGTCTTTTCCTGATGATTTAACATTCATTTTGGCCAAAACTTCTGCTCTCCTATATTCGGATTGGTTTATTTTTTATTATGAGTCAAATATTACTGGTCATTTGGCATAGTGGAATCGTTTAATTATCATAGGCATGAATTCTAACTAAAATAAAGTTGTAAGGAGGACGTGATATTATTTAATGCCTTCAAATCTCGCCATTAAAAATTCAAAAAACAGAAAAATATTTTGATTTAATTGGATTTCTTAGCAGTTTTATAAATTAACGGGCATTTTAAATTAATCGATTTGATCTGTTAAAATAGTATTGTTTTTTAATATACTGTAATGCGTTAAAATATGCCTTGTCTTTATTG